ATGATTATCGCCTGACAATCCGAAATAATTTAAGCCATCATCCTCCCTTCTTGAATTTTTATCGGATACTGAACTAAACCAAAGCTTATACCAACTTCCCTACCAATGCTTTGTAGGTCTTCTGTCGCACATGACCAGATCATGCAGTTTCATCGTTGGTGGACTCTTTTGGCCGCCCAGGCCGCCCATCATGCTCTCCCTGACCCTCTTGAATTCAGTAGCCCATGTTTCACAGTGCTATAAGAAGGGGAATTCTTCCCAAGTTTTTCCATGAAGTCTTCATGGATTTCCCTGGGAACATCCCTTTCTTACAGAGGTACTTAACCCATTACTTCATGAACATTTTGTGAAAAATGTCTGTTTTCATTGAAAAGTCTCCCGTTACAAATTCAAATTGCTATAATACTATAAAACTGCTTCAATACTTATCAAACTAACTATCACTATCAAAAACAATTCTATTCACACGAAAATCTATGATAAAAAAGATGACTTTGATTTTGGTATAGTAAATTATCCTTATTTGAATGGAGACGTACCGCATGCAACATCTTACGGGGTTTACATATCTCAGTTAATTAGATTTGCTAGGGCTTGTAACAACGTAAAGGATTTTAACGATCGAAATATTTTCATTACCGGTAAGCTACTGAAACAGGGCTACTGCTATTATAAATTAAGTAATTTTTTTACAAAACTTTACAATCGTAACTTTGATTTAATTTCAAAATTCAATAGTGATCTAAAATCACTTCTGCGACAAGGAATTAGCCAGCCTGATTTTTACGGGGATGTTGTTTACAAACTTCGTAAGATCTTGGGTCATTGTAATTTTTCTGTTGTCTTTACTAAAATTATTAAACGTTTTATTAAAGTTGGTTATGACTCTACTATTTTAAGACATACCGCATGCTTAGTGTTCAACCCATTTACAGTTGGACGCTACGCTTTCCTCTTTTGATTACATCTGACGGACCAAGTGGGAGACTCTATGATGGACAGTTCTTAAAGCCCTTTGAGACTGAATTGCCTAAATGTTCGTCTTCTGTCTTGCTTCGTCGGGCCCTTGTAGGTGATTTTCTTGTTTCTTCTGTTTCCTTTAAGACATTGAGTACTTTTGTTATGGTCATAGGGATTACTTTTATATGTTTCTACATGATCATTTTGGTGTTTTACTTATTTAACCTTTTGTAACCATGACAACTGTTAGAATTTCACTTGGCGGGGATTCATTTTGATTACACTGTCTCGTTTATAGGAACATAATGGGGCTAAGAGCGAGGTTTGGTGCACCATTAACCGGTTAAAACTCCCCAGCAGTATTTATGCTGCTGACCGTTCCAAGGCGGCGCCCCTCTGTAATCCTCAGATGTATGTCTATGTTGTTTCATAATGTTTTGGTGACACTTGTGTCCCTTGTTTTTTCTCGTCTACGGTAAGTACCTTCCCATTTGCCCCTAGTTTTAATTTATTTTATTTATCCCCTTCCTTCCCCGGGTCTCCTGTCCCCTTCCCTTGTGCCCTTTGACTTTATGGGCCTATTATTCAATCATTTATTTGTTTTCTTTTAGTTCCTTATCAGTTGCTGATGATTTTAGTGATAAGCCTGCCCATGCTCTGCTTTGTGCCCTGTCCTGTTTTTGTTTAGGGTCCTCCTGGGCTCCTTGTCGCGTCGGGTGGGGGTTACGTTCGTTGAGTGCCGCCTTTCCTTGTTGATCTTTTTTATCATATTTTTTGGCACAAATGTTGACTGGACCATTGCTTTTCCAACAACATGCTCAGGCTTAAATTTTCTGTTACCATGGCAACGAGGGGACATCTCAAAATTGCCAAAAATCACTATTTTGCGTTGATTTTTTTCCATCAAAATTGAAAGTGCTGCAACTTCTCAATTGATTGAGATAGATTCAAATGCTTTTGAGCGTTTGTTACACGTTACCTTATGATGGATCTGGGGTCATTTTAGCCTCTCACAAGTCCAAAATGTTCTTTTAGTTTCGGGGCGGCGCCGAAAAGGTGGTCACATTTTTAACAACATTTCTCAAACAAAAACAAGTCTTGGGGCCTAAATAAGGTATTTTCTTACCATTTGAGACAACAAAACAGGGTGGTAAAAAGGGCGTTAAAAGGCGAGTATATCGCGTAAAGGGTTAATGAAGACTCGGATTTCAACTTTTTCCTGGGCTCCTTGCCACAGACTCTTGTTGCTGGGTCGGATGGGGCTGCGTTCATTGAACGCCGCTTTTCCTTGTTGAACTTGTTCATCATATTTTATCATGACTCTTATTAAGGTATTAAGGTCCTGCATGTTTCTCATATTGACTATGAAATCCATCATGATGATCACTGTAATTATATTGATAATGACCATTCTCTTCGTGATGGTCTTGATGATGGCCTTTTTGACCAGTTTGATTGTTGTGATGTCTATAGTTACCTTATGATGTTTGTGTACAGGTCTGTCTCCATGATGTTTATATGACCCTCAACATGTGTAATGCCTTTGTTCATCCCCTTCTGCATACCGGAAAGGGGATTATAGGAATGGCATCCGTCTGTCAGTCCGTCCTTCTGTCCGTCTGTCCGTCCGTAACACGTTTGTGTCCGCTCCATAAATTTTAAACCACTGAAAATTTTTTGAAATAAATTGGCACAAGTACTCACTATAATGAGACGATGTGCAGAGCGAAATAATTGGGTTGCTACCCCCAAGGTCAAGGTCAAATTTTAAAAGCTCTTCATTTCATAATAGAAGTCTATATTTTGTTACCGCTCTATTACATTTAAACTACTGAAATTTTTAAAAAAATAAATTGGCAGAAGTAATCACCATAATGAGACGATGTGCAGAGGGCGAAAATTGGGTTGTTATCCCAAGGTCAAGGTCACACTTAAAAGTCAAATGTTTAAAGCTCTTCATTTCATAATAAAAAGTCTAACTTTTACTTAAAACGACATCTCCTCATAAACCGCTAAGCTAATTTCATCCAAACTTCACATGAATGTTTCTTTGGTAGTCAACTTTAAATATTGTTCAAAGAAAACACTTAATATCTTCTTTTAGAAAACAAAAAGAGCTAGAGCTTAAATATTTGGCATGAAACATTATCTAGTCAGTGTCTACCAAGATTGTTCAAATAAAAGCCCTGGGGTAAAAATTGGCCCCGTCCCAAGGGGTCATTATTTTTCCCTTTATGTATATGGTAAAAACTTTAAAAAATGTTCTTTTTAAAAACCCCAAAGAGTTAGAGCTAAGATATTTATCGTAAAACATCTTCTAATGGGTGTCTGCCAAGTTTGTTCAAATAAGGGTCCTTGGGTAAAAATTGGCCCCGCCCCGGGCGTTATTGATTTTGCTTATATGTGTATAGTAAAAACTTAAATTGTTTTTTTTTTAAAAACCCTAAGAGCTAGAGTTTAGATACTAAGCATGAAAATCTTTAAGTGAGTGTCTACAATGTTTGTTCACATAAAAGCCCTGCGGTCAAAATTCGCCCCTCCGTGAGGGTCATTGTTTTTCCCTATATGTATATAGTCAAAACATTAAAAATATTCTTATAAAACTTATAAGAGTAAGAGCTTAGATATTTATCATGAAACATCTTCTAATGGGTGTCTACCAGTTTCGTTCAAATAAAAGCCCCTGGTTTAAAATAGGCCTTTGCCCAGGGGCCTATATACAGGTGAGCGATTTCAGGGCCATCATGGCCCTCTTGCTAAGATAACTTGGCAGAAATTATCACAGTTGCTTTTGTAAACACAGGTGGAATTTGTCTGTGTGAACTGAGTGGTTTACAATCTAGAACAAAAAAGGTAAGTGGTGTCCTTATACATGTTATATATTCAAAAGCTTAATAGGTATGTTATTTTGTTACTTTCTATTCAATAGATACATTTATAATTATATAAATATCAAATAGAAGCAGCAACAAATGTTTAACAAATTGTAATTGTGACCCATATTAGAAAACAAATTTCTCCTATCCATCAATAAAACTCTACTTCTCTTTTGCTAAATACAAAAAAAACGTATAAAAATTATTTGTTATTCTATACTTCCTCTTTTATATCCGGTCATAAAACGTCTCATTTAAGTTGCCTTTTATCGTTTTATATGTACATAAATTTGAAAAACAGAATATAATATTAGAAAAAAAAGGCAAAAAAATATTTTGCTAGATCCATATTCATATGCTGATAAGTTATATTGAAGGATAAGACAACACGATAAAGTTTAAGATATATCAATTTAAAATAGATAACCAGAGGCTGACTTATGTTAGATAAAATGTCAGACAAAGAAGCCACTGTTTACATTTTTAGATTGTGTATTTTGTAAACAATATTGAACTTGTCATGCAACTTGTTTTAAAAATTGACACACATCTTTTACTTGATGGACTCTAATTGTTCGTTATGGTTGCTTTTTTTAATTAAAGTTATTGCTGAAGATTTTGTTAAAGCATGTCATCACAATACATGTTAATGCAGAAGGCATTTATGTAACATTTGAAAGTAATGTCCTTACATGTAATTTTATTTCAGGATTCAGAACCTCAATGCTTGATGTAATATCTAGTCGGTCAACGGGAGATGTCAGTGGACAGGTATATCTTAACAACGTTAAAGATCCTGTAACACAATTTTTTCATGGTTTTATTTCATAAATATGATGCTCAAATTAAGATTTGTCAATATTGTAAGTTTCAATAAGCATTATTTATAAAGATATTGCCCAATTTAACATTTCATGTAAATAAAGGGAGGTAATTAGAAATTTATTTTCTATAAATTCTAAGTCAAATTTTCGGATAAGAAATGAATGCATGTAATTTAATGATTAAATATAATGTGCACAAATATTTGCAGTACACATTTAACATATTCTTCGATGTTTGAAAATTGTTTTATTTGCATAATTATATACATATATAATTTTTTGCAAGTGTGGTATACACACAGTAACAATATCAATCACAAAACAAACAGGATCTTTAAATGTACTCGGGACGTCATCCAGCAATATGCTACGTACGTCATGCAGGCTGTTACCTAACTCTACTGTTAGAGAAACGTTAAGATACACTGCAAAGTTGAAATTACCAGCACATGTAACAACAGATGATATTGAACGGAAGGTAATTTTCTTTTATAAAGTAGTAAAATAACTGCTTTGCGGAAGCAAAGCAACCTTTTTCAACAAATATTAAATTATGTGAAATAAAAGTAGTGTAATGTAATTTGCTCAAATATCTGTGTAGATTTTCTAATGATGTATCTTAGCGTTTGAATGTAGGACCGGGAACGAATAAGGAATTTGATGTTCAAATTGAATATTTATATGTGATAACTAAAATGGATGTCTTCATGAGGTTGTTACATGTATCAAGAATACATTTATATCGTTTAGAAGTATATTTGATACATCTTTATCAATGTAGTTTATTTCAAAATTGTAATAAAAAATTAAAGGTAGCTAAAGTAATACAACAAATGGGTTTAAAAGATGTTGCTGACTCAAGGATAAGAAGTAGTATTATCCGTGGAATCTCAGGGGGAGAGCAAAGACGAGTTACCATAGCAATTCAGTTACTTAAATATCCAGGTAATTGAGATTGATAACTCCAATTAAACATCATGGTACTTGTATATCACAATTTCAAATCTTTTGAAGCAGTAAATTTCTTAGAAATGGTTATGTTATAAAAATAGTTTAATTGTTCTGCTAACTTAAGACTTGCTTGTTTTTGTTTTGAAAATATTTTGTTGTTGTTGTGTTTTGTTCTATTGTAGATATAGTTTTACCTAGTGCTGAATATGATACGTTGCTGATGATTAAGTTATTGAAATGTTTAGGTTGGTTCTCATATAGATATAATTCTGTTCGCTCTGTTTTAAATGAATTTTTGTTGATTTTGATATAGATATGGTTTTGTTGGACATCAAGTTTGGACAGTAACACTGCTCGTTACCTAGTCAGAAATCTCCGTGATCTCGCTAAACAAGGGGAAATTGTTCTGTTTAAAGTCCATCAACCTAGTTCAGATATCTTCCACATGTTTGATCAGATTGGAATCATGTCAAAGGGACAGATGGTGTATTGTGGACCTGCCAAAGATGGTTCCTTATTTCACAGCTCTTGGTTATCCTTGTGATACATATACAAACCCTTTAGATAGATATAGTAAGTTATAGGATAATTATGTCGTAAATATTTTTAAACACATCACGGGTAAATATAAGTCTATATTTAGTATAGACAAGTCATTTATTTTATAATATGAAATTCTGGTATCGTTATAAATTTAACATCAAAAATGCGTTACTGTAAAAAGCAAAATAAAGTACATTTATAAAGTAATAAACAATATCTATATATATTCCTTCATGTTAACATTCGATTATCTTTTTGCAAATTGTTTACTAAATAAATCAAATCTGTTTATAGTTATATCAATTGAAAGATTACATACTTGTGTCATTCGGATATTTTTTTATTAAAGTTTACCTTGTTTACAACAAAATTATAAGAAAACGCCAAAACAATACAGTCCAATACAGTTAAATACGCTTAAGTCCTTCTCTTTCGATGTTGCGAGCATAGGTCGTCGTGATTAAGATAGAAAATATTAAAGTACGAAACGTGTAGATAGTTTGGTGGAAGCTTTACAAATCTCACAAATAAACCAACAAACTCTCCACAATATAAGAAATGCAATGAATGGAACTGATGCCAGTAAGCTCGCTAGTGGTAGTGTAGCAAGTAGCGGACCAAGTTGCATGAGGGTGCTTATTACAATTATATGGTAAATCATTATTTTATAGAATCAATAGAGATTGTTGGTTAAAACGTTCGTTTTCTATATTACCTTACAAATAAAAACACGTCACTACATGTATATGGAGAGTAATTTGTGAAATGTCTCAGATCTGCTATTTTGCATTTTAGATTTGATTATTCAGATTAAGTCAAATTGATAATAAAACACTTACAGATGTAAAAGATTTGATTAATATCAAATGACAGCGACTTACACTCCAAACTTTGTAAGATTAAAAAAATCTCACTAACGAGGCTTTTATACCCATAACGGTTACTTTGTCATTGGTAATGTATTTATATGCTATGCTTTCACATGTCTATAATAATAAATTGAGCGGTTTATGAACAAATCCTTATTTTTCAGCCGGATGTATACTAACGTTTTTAGAGATCGAAAATACTACTTTGCTCGTATTTTTCTACTCCCCTTGTTTATGGTGTTTATCATCATTTTCTTGAGAAGTGTTAAAAATGCACACAGACAAGTATCCAGGACCGTATTAGTCTCATCTATAACGCTACCACAGGCCCTCCCTTCATGGGAATCATTAACAGCATAGCACTTTGTACGTATAATCATTTACCTGCAAAAAAACATTTACACATATCAATGCAGAAATCAGTAAAAATAAGTGTTCATTCAAGAACTACGTTACATTTATTGTTATATATTTTGAACAAGAAAGACTTGTTGTCTGATTTTATGACATTTTATTCTTGAAATGTTTGGGTTTTTTTCTTTAAAAAATATTAAATTGAATGAACGAGAGGATAAGGATGAATGAAGATGAGGCAAAATGTTCAACAAAACGCAGGTGCAGGCAAAATTTATACAAATATATACAAAGACCAGATGTTTGTGTTATGCCTCGTATATTTTTGAAGATGTACACCAACGTTTAAACTTATAATTGACAACATAATCGGTTCAATTTGCGGGATTTATACTAGCGCGAGAGTCGAGACGGATTGTATGGACCTATGTTAGTAAAGGTAAAATAAGATATCAATGATTGTTTGTAAGGTTTTATTAAAAAGGGTATTATTATTGTTTTCTTTGATGAATAAATGTCACATTTTGTCCAGTATAACTTCAGTGTAACAATTTTTCCAACGTCTGTAAAATATATTTCCTTTCAGAACATTAGATACCTTGGTTGAACCAATGGAGTGGTTAAGCTATATACTAATACATAGATATTCTGCAGCCATTTTTGTAGCAAACGAGTTTAAAGACCTTGACTTTGACTGTGATCGGAATGGTAAGTTTGAAGACATTGGCATACAATAAAAAATGACTGCAAATGCTCCGATACCTGACCAAAATAAGTGTTGTGTTTTTTACTAATTTCTTCCTGTAAAAAAGTATGAAAATCTTTTAGTCATCCCATGCAAAGTATTAGAATATCAAATCGCATTAATAATATCAGTATAACTTGAATTAATATTTATCTTACCTTATGTATTTCTATTTTATATGAACTACATAGTATTATGAATTTATAGTACCAAACATATTTTATACATTTCAGTGACGTTGAATTGTATTGAAAGTGGAAATTATTACCTAAACAAATATTACCCGGTGCTGTGGATGATATTGCAAACAACTTCGGATATTTAGCAGCTTATTTGGCAGGGACTCTAATATTTGCTATTATCGTCTTCAAATTATCTGGTTTACGAAATTTACATTGACACATTTGTAAAGATTTGTGTAATTATACCTGTTGTTAAATGTAATATATTTTATATTGACCAAGATAAATGGTCAGTTATGTTACTTTTAGATATTTTTTATGAAATGAAAGAAATAAAGGAAACAGATTTGCATTAAAGTATGTTGTGTTTATCTTCTGTCAAAACGGTACTGCAATAAAACAATAACAATTCTCTAGTGAACTTAAAACGAAGACCCTTAAGTGTTTTCTCGAAGAATTTACCATAATAACTAGCAAAAAGCAGATTGAGCACTAATATTTTCCTTATCAAATAGTTCGTAAATTAGTAATATCTTGTGCATTATAAATAATCGGACAAGCAGATTGCGTATGAGTTTGGAAGAGTTACTAAAGACAAACACGAGAGCTAAGATAGTTATTGCGTTCTTATAGACCTCTCCAAAATCTGCATAGGTGGTCATTAGCCAAGTTTCAAAATTGCCCCCCCCCCCCTCCGGGAAAATCTGGTTTACGAAATTTACATTGACACATTTGTTAAGATTTGTGTAATTATACCACTTGTTTAATTTGACATATTTTATATTGACCAAGATTAATGGTCAGTTATGTTACTTGCTAGATATTTTTATGAAATGAAAGAAAAAAAGTAAACAGATTTGAATTAAAGTATGTTGTGTTTATCTTCTGTCAAAACGGTACTGCAATAAAACAATAACAATTCTCTAGTGAACTTAAAACAAAGACCCATAAGTGTTTTCTCGAAGAATTTACCATAATAACTGGCAAAAAGCAGATTGAGGCACTGATTTTTTCCTTATCAAATAGTTCGTGAATTCAGTTATGTCTTGTGCATTATAAATAATCGGACAAGCAGATTGCGTATGAGTTTGGAAGAGTTACTAAAGACAAACACGAGAGCTAAGATAGTTATTGCGTTCTTATAGACCTCTCCAAAATCTGCATAGGTGGTCATGAGCCAAGTTTCAAAATTGCCCCCCCCCCCCCCCGGGAAAATCACATGGTTTTTGATTGACTCATATTGGAAAGCCTTTTTGAAACTTCTTGTCCGAAACCCCAATATTAAAACCTAGATATTTTGTGTGTTGTTTTGACTAGAAGAATATTATTAAGTTGGTTTAAATTTAAATTATGATCTAGAATTCAACGTTTACCCTACCATGGTGTAACTTTTTACATTCACTTGGACAGTATGATAAAAATATTTTCTCCCGAGAAACTAAAATGCACCACACGTACATGTCTGGTTTGTAGTCTTAATACTAATCTTATGGACCTTAGTAAAATAGAGAAAATAAATATCCCTAAAGAAAGTCCAAAATGGCAAAATTGAAAAAGTTGCAGGCTCGGTTCAATTGAGCTCGTTCGTGGGTGGTACTGACATGTGCAAACTACAGTCCTTGCTCCATAGCACCGGTGAAATTTTGAAGATAACACTCTCTGGAAGACCTATACAGCATATACATAATTCATGTCCTTTGGTCTGGTGAGCGATCTAGTGTTAGTATCAATTGTCAAAATATAGTATGTGCAAAAATTGGTCATATTGTGATGTTAAAAAGATAAAAAAAAGTTTTTTTTTCATAACTACCCCATTTTCTATACATTTCTTTTAAATGTTTTTATATAGATCTAGTATAGATTAAAACCACAACTAATTACTCGAGCTTTAAAAGCGTGTGCGTGCATTATGAATTACACACTGAAAATGATATTTTTATTGTGTCTTTATTTATATTGCGTATATTGAGAACATTGCATAAGCATTTTATTTTTCAAAAATAAATTAGCTGATATCCGTAATTATGTATGTATAATGACATTAATGTTAGCATGGGGCCTTTTATTGTAAAGTATTAGGTACGTTATCTCCATATTAATTGATTTGATGCGGATTGAATAAACATTGCATTCAGTCTTAAGCATTCATGATTGTAACAAGGTTTTCGTGAAAAGTAAACTAATATATTTTTTTAAACTTCTGTTGTAAAATAATATGGTATGAATGACCTTGCCTCAATCAGTATTTCTACCAAGATATATTTGGTGTAAACAAATTATCTGTAAAGTAGAATGAGAAAGGAATGTTTTATTTACTTATACGCACCAACGGTGTTAAGATCATATTGCGACTTTTCAGCTTTAATGGTGGAGAGAGACCTCAGATGCCTGTCCGTGCATTATTTCAGGCATGAATGGGCTACCGGCGATCCTTAAGCCAAAATGGATAGCTTTTTCACATGAAATAATCCAAACTATTTGTTTATATTTCCGTTATACTTTAATAGAAAGTCATAGTGAATTTTAGAATATCAAATGACATATAACCATAACCAAACCGAAATATGTAATTTCCAAAAAGACAAGAAAAATGTACTTTTTTCTTTTTACATCTTTAAGCCGATAACGATATACGAGGGTTGTTCTCTTGAACCACAGCGCCAATACCTCTATCGGAACACCTCGGCTATTATTCATAATAATCTGACGGAAATGATCAAGAAGATGCGATTCTTTACTACCTTACCAACGGTATTACGAGTATTTAGCCAAATAAGAGTTTGTAGCGAAGCTAAGGCCATTGTGTTCGAGCCTTATCTTAAGTTCGACGTAAAGCAACGAGAAGTTGCGAGTGACATAAATATGTTTAAAAAAATAAAAGACATGATGTTAAGAAAGTATACTTTCGGTTTCGTTTTAGGAATTTCTTTGGGAAACTATTTATACCTTGGCTCATTACCAATGGAAATTTGAACGGGAATTTAAGACATTGTGAAATATCTTTTAACACGTTAACACTTACTTCATAGATAATGCGATATTTGCTTTTGATACAGTAAGATTGGAATAAAAAGAACCAACAGTGAGTAGAATGTTTCGTTATCACTCAGAAGAAAGCTAAAACTCAATTAAAATAAACTATTCTTAAACTTCAATATCAATTTTATCATGTTAAAATAAATCGTTATTTTATTGGACGATCAACTGAGTCAAGTGATAATATATTTTTAATCTTTGTTTGCGCATGTAGTACTGAAATGTGGTCTTTTATGATATACTGATATCTGTATTCAATCGATGTGTGTCATCTGTCGTTAACGACTACGTATCAACAATTTTTTAACCCAAAACAACTTGTTTGATATTGACCAAATTTTCAAAGAATGGTAAGCCCCGTTGTATCTGCTATATCAAAGTTATATAAAGTTTCAAGGTCTGCTGTCCTCACTGAAGTAGGCACTGGATAAAAACAGATCGTGATAAATCCTCCTTTGTCTGAAACTCGCAACATTACCAAGTTGTCGACTGTAAATTTACTTAAATCATGTATTTTGAGTCAAGGTTTGTTACTGTTTACATGTCGGACTGGAAAGTGTCGGGGGCTGCGTTCTGTAATGTCGCCTTGCATTGCCATGTTTTGGTATCACAGACATAACTTTTGTCAAAATCAGCATATGTCATTGTTAATGGTCATCTTCAAACTATTTGGATTATACTCTTGCTGTAGTGCTGTAGAAAAAGGCCGGTCCACGACAGTCACTATTTGAATACAAACTTGTTTGGGATTTAAAAATATATATATATATTAATATTCTTCTTCTATCTGCAAAAAATGCTCAAAGCTTATTTATTTCCTATATAGCATTTCCAATACATAGGGTAGCAATATAAGCAAAACTAGAACGATTTTCAGAAAATGCATGTAAAAGCAGACGATCAATCACCAATTACGTAATGGATTAAGTTAAGAAATCTTAGAATCCCATAGTACGTTTTTTGTAGTTTATACAAGCAGACGATACTGTTCGATCGAACACATATTTAAAACATAATTAAGTATAATATTTCATGGCAGGTTTTTGATAAAAAAAAAACAAAGTGAAATTATTTACGTGCACATTAAGAGGTTATAAACATGACTAACTGTTTAAATTTATAACAACTTGAAATAGATATAATAACCTCAATAACTTATTTTGGCCATAACTTTGGGATTCCAACTAAAACTAAATACGTAAAACTAAATGAAATAAAAGCACAGAAGGCGCTGAATTTGTTTGGGTTTCAGAATGTAAGAAAGGTGCAGGTTGTGAGATTATAAACCAATTTGCTTTTGTATAGTGCCACCAATGCTTTCCAGCGTTTTAATTGTAGAGTAAATTGGCTATAAGACTAATTGCAACACTGATATTCAATCCAATGTTTATTTGACTTAAACAATTTTAAAAAAATGAGCTGCCTTAATTGGGATTTGAACTCCAGACCTCTCGCTTCCTAAGCAAGCGCGCAAAACCCTCGGCCATGGTGAATTTATATGTTAACGGCCTGAAGAAAACCATATTATACTAAAATAGGGTTTGTAACGACGCTAAATGTTGTTTAACACAGATGTAATAATCATGGAGCTTACTATAAGCATGTATATCTATAAAGAATAAAACAATATTAGAAATCTTCGACCATTCGGGAATTATTTTGCTTGAAATTAATGCGTCTGTCATTTGACCATCTTTACGCAGTGATCTCCCCTGAATTTTTCGGCGTTAGTGTACATATAAAGGGAAGTAACCGCTTCAAAAAAGCGGACTACTTTCGGCATTTGCGATTAACAGCATTAGAGTCTGAAATTTCGCTACCATTATTTGTTTGGTCTGACGACCCAAAACAAATAAAAATGATTGATATAGACTCTTATCTAAATACGCATGTGCTTCTTAAATGGAAATGGAATCCTAGGGAAATAATGTTACAATCTTCTTAACGCCTTCTTTCAGTTTATCTTTGTATGAAACAGAAAATTGAATAAAAATGTAAACAAACATTGCAGAAATGAAACAATTATCTACATAATAAGATCTCAAAACACCTAACTTATTACTAAGCATGAATCGCATCATTTATGTTTATTTTTCCAGGAGAAATCCAATAACAAATATAGAAAGATGATGACTGTTTACAATAATAATGGACACAAAGTTCCTGTTCAAGCAATGCCCAATGGAGTCATTATACCGTCGAATGGTCAAATGAATGGACATTTTATTTATGCTGGTATGATAAAATAAGATATTTAAAGCTGTGTTTATGCATTCAATAGTTGACACGTTAAAAGTGTAAATATCTTTTTAACTAAAAACCTTTTCATGTATCACATGAAACATTATTAAGCATTCGCGTTCGTTAGGAAAATGTTTAAACAAAGTAATTATCTATTTCATTTAGGTGATCAGAGACACATAAGTGAAGTGCCTACACAATGGAGACCAACCAATTGGAGTAGAGAGGTACATATTCCTGGCTTACGAAACCACAAAATATAAAAGAAACGAATATATTATGATAGTTAGATAATGTATATAAAACAGTACATTTTGAAACAGAACATGATAATCAAGATTATGCTTTTCTTACCATTTTAAAACGTAGTTGTGTAAAAATGCAATCATATCTTAGTGATTAATATAAACAGAAAGAGAAAAAATGTCAAAATATTCATTAATAGATCTAGAAAAAATAAGATTTATACATTGACTTTCGCGCTTATTATTCAATCATTTTGACAGATAACACCTTTTTGTTCCTTATTTGCTAATTAAACCCTTTTGTAAATTTTCATCAAATGGCAAGAAATATTGTCAAAAAAGTTAACACAGAACCATGGAATTCAATGTGTGTTCTATTGTATCATTTACAACATGAGAGACGAGAACTCTAACAACGGTATAAGCAAAATTGCCAAATCCAAATTTTGATTTTTGTAATTGTTTTACTTTAACTTTCAATTTTTAGTTCTCTTGATTTTGATATAGAATCTACTGGGTATAAAAGGCGATATAATGAGCTTTACACCATCAGATCCGTCAGTCACACGGACACGAATATTGATGATTGGACTTGTTGGCGCAGGAAAGTCCAGCTTCTATAATACCATTGACTCCGTATTCAGGAATCGTATAACTCAGCGCGCAACATGTGGTAGCGCAGAAAATAGCCTTACAAAAAATGTAAATAATTGTTTTCTTAATAATAACCTGTTGAAACTGTAAAATCAATTTCAAAGAACACGTAAAATTTTATTTTGTTTTCCGCATGTTTTCATTTTTCATTGGACGATTACCTGTTATGCATATAGTGTATAGCATAAGAATTTTGAATTTCAAATGTCATAATTCTTGTCTATGCAGGCTTCTCTATTGTTATTATAAAAGCAATTTTATCTGCCAAAATAAATCTAACTACAAAATTAAACTCCTTAATATATATCAAGAAAACGCAAAAGCGTGAATCAAATCACTAAAGTTTCAAATAAGATATTAAAAAGAATCTTCATCATTTAAGTACACCACCTACACTTTTAAAGATCAAAGTGGAACAGACATGAGCTTCTGTTTATGTGACACACGTGGAATGGAAAAGAAATATTGTCTGCATCAGATGGACTACAAATATTTATTGGATGGACAAATCAAAGACCACTACGAGGTATTGATTTTTGTGAATGTCAATAAAGAAGTTATAATATTATAAAATAATCGTATATACTATTCACGTAAATAAACGAGATTACATTTAAGTGTGTAGTAGAAAAATATTTCTTATTACCTTCATCAAGCGAACTGCTGTTTATTTTTTATTGGCATTTCGATAACTTTTAATTATGCCTATTATGTACTTTTATCTAGTTTTCATCGAAGCTTCCAGTATCTTGGTGGAACTTTAAAATAAAGCCGTCTGCCAATGATAGAGTACATTGCATAGCGTTTGTCATTGATGCAACATCTGTGGACGTTCTATCAAAAGAAGATTTACACAAAATCAGAACATTTCAGGAACTTGCAAAAGAGAGAGGTGGGCTGTTTTGTTATCGATGGACATAACTTAACGTTAATGATGAAATTCACATACTCATAACACGTTGCTTATTTCTGTTTTGTAGCTTTTTATATGTTGTACTTGAAGTAGGAAAAAAATATTTGCAAATCATACACATATTTTCTTTTGTAGATTTATTAATGAATTATTTGATCATTTTCATAGAAACATTAAAGAAGAATGATTTGATAGAAATTCTTAACTTTACACTGAACCTTTAGGTAAAAATCTAAAAGGAGATAAATTAATTAACTAAATAACTTAATTATTCATATTAATATTTATAACAGGTATAGTACAGACAGTTGTTCTTACAAAGATTGATACTCTGTGTAAAGATGTGAAAAGGGATATTTCGTCAGCCGTTACAAGCCCGGTTGTTGAAACAGCTGTTCAAAAGGTAGCAGACCTGCTACGTCTTCCACGTAACAATGTATTCCCGATGAAGAACTACGAAAATGAGACCGAGCTTGACGACAAAATAAGTATTCTCGCCTTATCTGCTTTAAGGCAAATGCTTCACTTCACAGAAGATGCTTTGCAAAAGAAGAAAGAAGAGGCAGAACATGCAAAATGGCCATGCAATATCCTGTAAAACGCGGCCAATCTGATTCATATTAATATACATTTAAATTTGAAAGTTAAAACAAAACTACAAACATACATTTTTAAAGAAGCAGTCCCACACAGACTTTAAGTAGTACTTAATCTTCTTTTTATTTATGTAATGTTTTAGACTTTCATAAGCTGTACTTTCACACTCAGATGTACAACTGAATAGTGTGTAGGTCCTTGTCGTCGCCAATTCCAGCGAAATATTTAGTCGGGAGACAGTGTTTGATTTAACAGAATAGATCAAAAGTGTGGTTATAAGTTTAGATTTGACCTCGCACCAAAAGATGTTTTTAACCTCTTACTTGATGTAAAAGCAACAACAAGTGTGCAAATACTAATTGTTACAGTAAGTGTGAAATTTGGATGTACAACGATGAAGAAAAGGAAGTTATGTCAAGTTAGTCACAAACTAATCCACTTGAAATCAAGATATGACACTATGTAACGGTTCATAATTTAAAGCTGCACGCTTCAAGATGAGCATAAACATTTCAAGAAAAATCAAATTGTACTGCAATCAAGAAGGACGAGTTTCATAAAACAACATTGATATGGAAAACAGGACAGTAATTAAAAATGTAAAACATATTGACACATGTTATTACATGCATGTTAGTGTTAAGCGTAAACAGATTCATTGAATAAAAATAGTTTTGAAACAATACAAATGCTACGTAAGTTTTAGAATTTTTTAGTATAGTACCATATTCTTAAAACATGAATGATATATGAAATTTGTCAGATTGCTATGCACAATTAAAAAAATTATTACTTAGGTATGATCAGTGATAGAGACATCTGGGGAATTATATATTGGACCTCTTCTGAAAGAATTTAAGCAATAAATAACTTTAATTTTGATTAAATAAAAACAAAATTTATGTTCTATAAATATCTATCTATAATTACTGTAACCTAATAAATGAATCATTATCTTTGTCACCTTGAAAGTGAAAGTTTTACCAAAAGAAAGGGAAAAATTCTTTATAAAGAAAGTCAACGGTCCTAAAAATTACAGACCAAAATAATAAAACCGCCGATTGTCTTTTTACTTTCACTTCATATGTTCGCTTTAGGTTTGTTTATTATCAACTTACATTCTCTGTAATATTGTCATGATGGGGTTATGATTGTTTTTGCAAGTTATTACTGTTGAAGTGATTAAATATTTACAAAAGTTTCCAGTAATTTTGTGTAATTTACCTCACTGAAACATACTAATGACCTGTGGATCAAACAAATTGTTAATCTATATAAAAAATATGACCTGATAAATGTTGACCCTGTTTGGAAAAATGCTTCACAGAAAATGTTACCAAAAAGGTGAAGTACTCTTATTGATATAGTCATATTTACAATTATATATGGTATTATCGGGTACATCATACGCTGAAAGTGCTTCATTCTGGCCTGAAGCTTGATCGTATATACTACTTTGATAAACATGTTTGTACCATTGTACAAAAAGGTTTTCTTAATAAGCTAAAACATTGTCATGTTTTGGTATCACAGACATACCTTTTGTCAAACTCAGCATGTGCCATTGCTAATGGTCATCTTCAAACTATTTAGATTATATTCTTGCTGTAGTGCAGTAGAAAAACGCGGTCCATGAGAGTCACATTTTGTATACAAACTTGACAGGGGATTTTTCTGGCCGAAGGCCGATCCGTTTTCAGTTTGACTTCCTGTAAAATTTACAGGGAAGAACTGAATATAAGAAAAGTTTTCATTGGTCATTTTAAAATTACAAAATGAAATCTGGGATTCTCTTTGGCTGTTATAAAATAAAATGTAAAGGATAGTTCTTGTCATGCTAAGATAGTTCAATGATGGTTCCTGCCATTATGAAATCAAATGTAAAGGGTAGTTCAAAAATAAAATGTACAGGATAGTTATTTAAATTTCTAGTAAAATTGCTTAGATATTTAAGTTCTGTTTAACAATACCTCTTGCATTCAGATATCATTGCATTTTCTAGTGAACAGTTTATTTTACGTGAAAACTTACTGAGTTTATATTACACAAGATCTGAATTTTAAATGTTTTCCAAAATAACGAGAATAATATCAGAACTTATATGGTTCCCTAAGTTTATGGTGTTCAATAAGTGTCTAATATATTATATGATAACTGATGTGTTCAATTGATATAATGTTTCTAAATTACATATATTTTGCATATTAATTAAAGGAATAAGAATGGATGGATTGATGTCTATCTAATATAAATATTCATCATTTAAAAAGAGGAACCATGACAGTTTCCCTATTGACATCAACCCTATAAGAGAGAAATTCGTGTTTAAAGACACTATTTTTTACTTGAGAAATAAGTTCATGGGCGCCGCCATTTTGGCGTACTGTCATTCTCGCGAGACAGACGAGACCGAGATTGTGACGTGTTATACCCACTTCCGGTATAGTTGTACACTCTGGTACAACTGAAATATATCTTGATGAAGAACTTATTAATTTAATTGCGTACATTATATATTATTTATGAAAACATGATATGGAACTGAAAAGCTTTAATTAATTAATTGAAGACGCCGCGACATTAATTATCATTTGCCCGATACTCAAGCTTGCTGATGATCCCACCACATGATTTAAGCAATGACTGCTTAATTTTCAAAGATAAACCATAAATTTACTTTGGGTACTAGGCGAGACTTCTTCAAATTGACGATATATCCTTTTATTTTGAACTTAATTTTCGCTAGACAAGCTGTCCAAATAGGGTACATCGACGGTCATATATCTTTTTTTCAGGTAAAATATCAACTAAATCCAATATGCTGAGGACGCGATTTTCCGCCATTGACGCTAAAAATGAGAAAGGCGCAGGAAAATCGGCAGCCAGACTTATATCGTATGAAAAACAAAACTGCCGTAAAGTTATTTAGGCACCCAGTCAAAACTGGTACCAACAGCAACAGGTTGCCCATTCCCTATAATTACGCATATTCTCGGGTTTATCCAGTTCCCCAAAGCTTTTTTCCACGTTATCTACTTACCAAATTCCTTTCCCCGACATATACGCATTTCTTCTACCGTAAATTTAATCCAATAAAACAAAAAATCAAAAATCTACCCTTAATATTTTTAAAAATGATTATTGGGAACTGAAAAAAAAGTGTGTTGCTATTTTATGACGTGCTGTAATTTACTACAGTACAATTTGACAGGTGTGAACCGAATTCCCCCTAAGGTCATTCAGTTCACTGATGAAGCGTAAAAAAAATGTCTATTTCGTCATTAGAATATTTGACAAGGGTGATTAACCAATTAGGGCAAACATTGTGCATGATCAAAAGGTCTGTCGGCACAGAGGCCATACAAGGAGCAATAAAAATCGTCAGTACACAAGTGTTGACAGAAGCATTTGGTGCAAAATTAGGAACAATTAAAATGGACAATGCGCAGTATTAGACATAAGTAGTAAGAACCAGCAATTGTTGTGAATAAATTATGCAAATTAGATTTTTGAGCAGCCAATAAAAATGATTTGCCTGCAGTTAATATTAGGCTACGATTACGATGCGCAGATTAATCGCCTTGATCGCCTATATATATCGATCTTTTGTCATCGCAAGATGTCGAGAAAAAATAGCCTTTGCTCTTGCATTTACACCAATTGAAAATAGTTTACAAACATTTTGATAATAATCCTTTTTTGTTTCATTAAGTTTAATTTTCGACACCTTTTATATGAAAAAAAACAACAACAACAAACACTGAAAATGATTGTTGTTAGGCGTCTCTTGATAATTGCGACAATTACCGACGGTACTGTATCAAGGAAAGTTTGCATGTTTCCGTGAAAGGCATTCTAAAATTCTATTGTCAGTCCCTGGATATGTTTTTAATTAAGGCTAATTAATTGATTGAACTGTGCTTTTATGTCGATATTTATCTGCTGTTTTTGAAAATTATATTAATTATTTTGCATTTCACCGTGTTTTTTTTTTCATTCAATGTTCTTTTTATTTATTTATTCCACTCCCTGATCATTTTATCGATCCATGTGCTTTTAAAACATTAACAAAATGATTTAATAATTCATACAAATTAAACAACAAAATTTTTTAATGCTAAGCATGAAAAATCAACAATTTTTATAACGTTCGAACTTCCATATATTTTTTGAAAATTGCCGTACGGCTAGACAATACAGTGCGTCCTGGCAAGTCGTTCGTGACTCACGTAAATCGGCTAGATCTTTTGGCTAGGCCTTACGTTTCTTTATTTTTTTTTATTTTTTTTTTTTTTGATATTGTTACGTATTTTGAACCATAAAAAATCTCCTCTACACCTCCTGTTGAAAATTAAATTGTCTGATCAATACTTAATTATAATTAATATTTCCTTACGATTCAAACTAGATTTATCACGAATCTAAAAGATGTGGGGAAATGACATCACGCGCACCTGTTTTTTATACGGCCAATACACAAACATGGCCGCGCTTACCAATTTGTAGAAATCGGTGATTTAGCGATTTAAATTTTGTTATCATTCGTTTAATATTATTATTTGGCGGTAGAAAATTTGCAGACTTATTATTTATAGTATTCTTTTTCTGAAATCAAGTTTTTATTTTAACCTTGTCTTTCCCTTTAAGTATTTATAAAAATTATGGCAATACCGACTGCGTAGATGTTGCTGTTAAAAATTGCGTTTACTTACCGAAACTCGACAGGTTTGTTTAGATACACATACATCTTAAAGTGTTCCATTTTTCAAGATAATAACCCTACAATAAATTATTACGTCATTGTTATGCAGGCTATGGTTAACCAGTTTTAATTCGGCCGAGTATCTTTTTTTTAAGATACTTCTTGTTTAATTTAAAAAGCATACCTAGTATTCTTCTTTCTTCAAAATTGCTCAAAGCTTATTCATTTCCTATAAAGCATTTCCAATTGGTTCTTTTTTTATTACACAGGGTAGCAATGCAAGCAGAAATAGAACAATTTTCAGAAATCGCATGTAAAAGCAGACGATCAAACACCAATTACGTAATGGAGTACGTATTTTGTAGTTTACACAAGCAGATGATACTGTTCGATTAAGAAAAAGTACGTCCACGTAAATAAAATGTTTTTAAGTATTTTAACAAGAAAAGCATTGATGCAACAGCATCAAAGGGGCGGAACGCCAAAAAGAACTTTAG